CTGTGCAGCCTCGTAATATTCCCTTCCCTACACATTTGATTGGCAATCAGCATCGCGCATTCACACCTTTGCTGTATGAAAAGTATCCCTGGATTGAGTATTCGCAAATGGAGGATGCCATCTTCTGTTTCCACTGTCGTAATTTTTCAGAGAATCGGAAGGATCCAGCGTTTGTTAGTCAAGGCTTGCGCAATTGGAAAAGATGCTATGGCACCAAAGTGAATGATAACAAACTCTTGCAACATCAAACCAGCCATCTTCATGCCCAAAGTGTAGCTGCTAAAGCGCACTATGAAAACGTTAAGTCTGGAAATTTTCAGACCATTGCCACACTTCATGATGCCGCTTATTCGAAACTGGTTAAAGACAACAGGCATTACATGCGAGTGATTTGCGAAGTCCTGCTTCTCACTGCTCAGCGGAAGATTGCCCAACGTGAGACTGGAGGTTCATTTCGTGTTGCCGATATAAATAAAGAAGCTCTAGACTATGGACCTTCTTGTGGTAATTTTCTTGCGATACTTGGTCTTCTTGCAAGGCATGACCCAGTTGTTGCTGACAAAATCCGCACTGGCCCGAAAAATGCAAAGTATACTCACCACAGCGTACAGAATGCCATCTTAGACATTATGAAAGACATGGTTCTTGAGCAAATAAAAAGTGAGCTCAATAAGGCTCAGTATTTTACCGTCCTTTCAGATGAGTCTAAAGATAGAAGCAAAAAAGAGCAGCTTGTTGTTGCAGTCCGTTACTGCTACGAGAATGCCATACATGAGGAATTTATTGGCATTGCTGAGGCGCAAAGTTTAGATGCAGATGGTCTTTCAGACACAATAATTGAACGATTGCAACGCATCGAAGCCAACATGAAAGCATGCGTGGGGCAAGGCTACGATGGAGCTTCTGTTGTTTCTGGTCACCTGAATGGCGTTCAAAGGAAACTTCCTCTGAAAACCGGTGCTGAAATGGCTTACTACGTCCATTGCTTTTGTCATCGATTGAACCTTGTGATCGTCGATGTTGTGAAATCAATCAGTTGTGTGGCAGACATGATATCGCTATTCAGAAGCCTGCATTCTTTTCTGAGCAGCAGCACCGTTCATGTACGATGGGTAAAGGTCCAAGAGGATCACAAGGTTCATGTGATGGAAATTGGAAAAGTTTCTGACACGAGATGGTCTTGCCAGGCGAAGCAATTCAATGTTTTCTGGGAGCGGTTGGATATCTTGGTGGAAGTCCTGCAGGATGTGATTGACACAGATACGAACCCCGGTCGCAGAACAGAAGCTACTGGTTATCTTCTGCAGATTGACAGGAAATTTGTGAGATACCTGTTTGCCATCCGACACGTCTTGAACAAAGCCAAATTTGCGTCTGACATGTTGCAGAAACCCTCCAATGATTTGAGTCAAGCCATTGATCTCATTGCAACATTGAAAGATGAACTGGATGACTGTCAAAGCAGGGATAAGATTCAAGAGTTCTGGGATACTGCCGAAGAAGCAGCGGATCGCTTGGAATTGCCGGAAGAAAAAAGACCACCAAGAAAGAGGGCAACGCCTGCTTCTCTTCGAGAGTTTGTTGTGGAAGCATCTTCAGAGCCTCAAGTAGCAAGCGGGTTTGATGGCTACGTACAAAATGTCAAAGAAATACTAAACAGAACAACTGCAGAACTTTGCAAGCGGTTTGACGAAAAAAACATAAAGATCATGAAAGGCATAACTGCATTGGCCCCCAAGTCGAAAAGCTACTTGGACCCAACAACTCTTGTCAATTTTGCTGAGCTTTTTCAGTCTGAAATTGGTGCACTACGCAGTGAAATTGCCACATTTAAATATATGCTCTCAAGAAAAGAAGAAAAACACCGCCCAAGCACACTTCTGCAACTAGAGGCACACTTGGAAAAGCTAAATGAAGCTTTCTTTGAGCTGCACCGGCTTGTATCCATCGCATGCACTTTGCCAGTCTCCTCAGCCGAATGTGAACGCAGCTTCAGCTCTATGCGCCTCATCAAGAGTGATCTGCGCTCACTTATGAAGGACGAGCGTCTAGACAGTCTGATGATGCTAGGTATTCATCGTGCCCGTGGAAGTGCTCTTGACTTGGACTCAGTAGTAGACAGATTTAAGGCTAAGTTCCCGAAGAGTAGAATTGCTCTGTGAAACAATTTTGATTCTTGGACTTGAATTTTCGATATGTAGAAGTGCGTATTCCACCGCTTAGGTCTGTTCCTATAAAGTTACGTTGTGTTCCAGTTTTCCTTAAGTTCAGTTGGTTGCTTTTTATTTAAATTCATACTTTCCAAAGATAGGCCCTACTTGAATTGGCAACGTTTGATGAGTTGTAAAGATTTAGAGTAGTTTTAAGCTTATCTAGAGGCAGCTTTCAAAAAAAATTTCCAGGGACGCCGGAGAAGGGGGGCGCGGGGGGGCAAGCGCCCCTCCTGCCCTTTGCTAGGAGGGGCAAGGGAGGGGGCAAACGTGCCCTTAGTAATATGTCAAAAAACGTAGTAAAAAACACGATTACACCATTTTGATAGCATTTTTAGCCAATCTAATGGGTGTAGCCACCAAAATTTTCCCGGGGGAGTACCCCCGGACCCCCCGAATTTTCGGCTCGCAACGCTCGCCTTCGGTCTCCAGTACCCTTACAATTCCTTGTCGCCCCCTAGCCCTATCGTTCTCTAAAAAAATTAGCCCCTCCGTCGGAAGTGCTAGCCCCTTTGTCGGAGGAAACCTAGCGCCACCACTGGATTTGAAAAAGCAAGGCAAGAATATACATGATGAAGACATAGCAAGTCATATTTCTCAACCGAAACCCGACTGTTGTGGCTTACAACAATCTAAATCGATTAACTCATCAAAAATTTATATTAAAGACGAAATGAGATTAATACAAGAGCTCAAAGTAAGAAAAAGCTATTCTCTACAATCTGCTTTCTGGTTTTATAATCAGAACTTTTTACAAAAATTACAACATACAAAAAATTAGATAGCAATTGATATACAGTCACTGAAAGATTGAGGAGCAAAAATAGACTAGAAAAACTATGAATAGGACAACGAAACTACTTATGATGTTACCTTCTAGCTGGGAAGGCTTGTTATAAAAACAAATAGGGGAAGTTTCTGGCAACTTGGCTCAAATTGTAACTGAACTCAATAATCAAATTGAAATTTTAATTTGATTCAGATTGAGTTGCTTTTAACTTTAACCGCGTGATATTCATTATGATGATGCATGATGACGTCATTTTAAACTATAGCTTTAAAAAAATTTAACTTGAAAAAGATCCTTCCATTTTTATGTTTTAGTCGGGTGTCAAGCTTGAAGGACGAGCTTCATTGCAAACTATATCGCTCAGCCTCTTAGAATTTGCTAAAATGCGTATAATTTTATACTTTACGCTCTTCTAAAGGAATTCTTAGGAAAGCAGTAAATATGCATAAATAATTTTCAGAAAAAAGCCATCCCTGATTTTAACAGAAAAATGTATTACATATAAATGCTTTAATGCATTTACCACAACAAATGCTTTCTTTCTTGCAAAGGCAAAAAGTTTGACTTGCTTTCAGAGATTTTTCACTCCGCAATTCGTCAACTGGCAGTTTATACAAATATTAACGGTTATGGGGATGAAAATTATATTTACAAAAAGCCAATAACTATTTCTATAAACTGTGTTTATTGTATTAATCGCTCTTGTCCGTTGAATCACTGGCAGTCCAACGCTTTTTTAAGATTATAGAGGGTTTGTTGTCTGAAACCTCTACTGTTCTTCTAGAGACATGGAGGTCAGCTCTCGACCGGTCCAGATCTCCAAATATTATGTCGTCGTTGATA